GCCCCAACCACAACAACAGGAGCTCCAACCACAACCACAGCAGCACCAACCACAACCACAAGTGCTCCAACCACAACCACAGCAGCTCCAACCACAACCACAGGACCTCCAACCACAACCACAGCTGCACCAACCACAACAACTTCTGCTTCAACCACAACCACAGCATCTCCAACCACAACATCAGCTGCCCCAACCACAACAACAGGACCTTCAACCACAACCACAGCAGCACCAACCACAACCACAAGTGCTCCAACCACAACTACAGCAGCTCCAACTACAACCACAGCAACTCCAACCACAACCACAGCTGCTCCAACCACAACAACAGGACCCCCAACCACAACCACAGCTGCATCAACCACAACAACTTCTGCTCCAACCACAACCACAGCAGCTCCAACCACCACAACAGCTGCTCCAACCACAACCACAGCAGCTCCAACCCCAACAACAGCTCCAACCACAACCACCACGGCTCCAACCACAACAGCAGCTCCAACCACAACCACTGGTTCTCCAACCACAACCAGCACAGCTCCAAGCACAACAGCTCCACAAACTACAACCACACATGCACCAACAACTACTGATTCTCCAACCACAACAACAGCAGCTCTATCTACTACACCAACAGCAGCTCCAACCACAATCACTGGAGCTCCAGCATTAATAAGGTTGCTGACTTTTACATCTTATGAAAATTTCACCTCAGATTTGGAAGACTCATCAACATCAGTATTCCAAACACGTTCTGCACACATCAGGAATCGTGTATGTTTACCCTTCTTACTCACATAACAATTTCCATCAATTTCCATGTATTGTATTACTGTTTTTAATAACAGTAACATATATATATATATGAATATATATAAACTGTTTTTTTCATGTAGCTTGACCAACTCTTCAGAAGAGCATTCTCCTCATTCCAAAAGACTGGAGCTATGAAATTCAGGTAATTTCTTTGAAGTTTGCCCAAGAATAAACATCATTGTAAGGCACTTGTAGACGCTAACTAACTGTACTACACTTTTCCAGTGAGGGATCAATCATCAACTCTGTGGACCTGGAATTTCAGTCATCATCTACTCCTAATGATACACTTATCTCCGAGACTTTGGTTAACGAGGCTTCAAATATTAACGAATTTAACATAGTTCCATCGACCGTTTCTGTCAGCAACCCAGGTAAGGCAAAAATAATACATTCAAGAAAATCAAATATTTGTGAGACAAATGAAAATAAAAAACAACCACTGAAATGTTTATGAAGATTAGAAGTTATAATGGAATTGAGTTACATCACTTCAGTGTTTGTAGAAAACATCAACCAAACTTTAATTAGTATGAAAAAATAGTAATGTATGTATAGTATGATGAATAAATTCAAAGAAACAAACTTAAAAAATGTATTGTTTATTTGTTCCTCTAAACTGTGGCATTTTTACTAACTAAAAAAATATTACAGAGACTCCAACCACAACAACTGCTGCTCCAACCACAACGGCTGCTCCAACCACAACGGCAACTCCAACCACTGCCACTCCAACCACAACAGCTGCTCCAACCACAACCACAGCAGATCCAACCACCACTACAGGTGCTGTAACCACAACTACTGCAGCTCCAACCACAACAACAGCATCTCCAACAACAACCACTGTAGCTCCAACAACAACAACAACAGCAGCTCCAATCACANACAGCAGCCCCAACCACAACCACAAGTGCTCCTACCACAACTACAACGGCTCCAACCACAACAACAGCACCCCCAACCACAACAACAGGAGCTCCAACCACAACCACAGCAGCACCAACCACAACCACAAGTGCTCCTACCACAACTACAACGGCTCCAACCACAACAACAGCACCTCCAACCACAACAACAGGACCTCCAACCACAACCACAGCTGCACCAACCACAACAACAGCTGCACCAACCAAACCAATTTCTTCTCTAACCACAACCACAGCTGCTCCAACCACAACCACAGCTGCTCCAACCACAACCACAGCAGCTACAACCACAACAACAGCACCTCCAACCACAACAACAGCATCTCCAACTACAACCACAGCAGGACCAACCACAACCACAAATTCTCCAACCACAACTACAGCAGCTCCAACTACAACCACAGCAACTCCAACCAAAACAACAGCACTTCCAACCACATCAACAGCTGCCCCGACCACAACAACAGGACCTCCAACCACAACCACAGCTGCACCAACCACAACAACTTCTGCTTCAACCACAACCACAGCATCTCCAACCACAACATCAGCTGCCCCAACCACAACAACAGGACCTTCAACCACAACCACAGCAGCACCAACCACAACCACAAGTGCTCCANACCACAACAACAGCTGCACCAACCACAACCACAGAAGCTCCAACCACAAAAACAGCTGCTCCAACCACAACTTCTGCTCCAACCATAACAACAGCTGCACCAACCACCACCACAGAAGCTCCAACCACAACTACAACTGCCCCAACCACAACAACAGGAGCTCCAACCACAACCACAGCAGCACCAACCACAACCACAAGTGCTCCTACCACAACTACAACGGCTCCAACCACAACAACAGCACCCCCAACCACAACAACAGCAGCTCCAACCACAACCACAGCAGCACCAACCACAACCACAACTGCTCCAACC